ATGTCTCCGAACCGGATATAATAATATCAGGACAGACAATTCCGCTTTCTGCTTCGATAAGTATGTCTTGGCACAAACATGTCGCTGGAGTTGCAAAAACCGCTTCTCAAAAGCTCAGAAAACTGTTCCGAACTACAAAACACCTCAGCAACTTTTGATGCTTAATAAGGCTCAGATCAGACCTTCTTTGAAGTATTGTTCACATGTATGGAGCTCTACCCCTTAGCATGCCCTGAAGCTGCTGGATTATATCCAGAAAAGAACCATCCGCCTGATTGGAGACGCGAATATCACTTGCCACATTGATAGTCAGGAATATCGAAGAAAGGTTTGGGATTTGTTTCTCTCCTATAGAAACTTTTACGGGAAGTGTTCAACTTGGCACATTTAATTCATCCAAGAGCGGGACATATCAGAAATATGCGATGGGTTGTGGCCATTCATCGTTTTGCGGTTCAACTCGGTACACCTCGGACTCCATTGTTCAAGATCTCTCTCATTTGGAAAACTGCGTTCATGTAGAATGAACTTCCTGAGAATGTTTTTCAAATGGATATAATCTCCAGAGATTCAAATCCAATGTGAATCGCTACTTTCGCACAGAAACCGCTCTAAGAGCGCCGTTTTCGCCAATTTTCCTGTAGTGTCTACGTTTTGTCCTCAAATAAAACATTTCAATATGTTGCTTTCGTTAGAAGACTGCAATCATTCAAGTAACACGTTATTGTTATATTATATAGGTGAAGTACAAATAAGGTAGAATTCAGTCAGTCTGAACACTTCTGAGGAAGCAATTGTATAGTGAAACACATGAAGAGGTTTTGTAAACTTTTCAGTAAAAATCTCACAATAAAGTTTCAATTGAATACATTATGGATTTTCTGTTTGCTTGGTGAGGCCAGAAATTCAGGAAATTCCACTCAGAAGAGTTTTTTGGTAGTTCAATATGTTATCAGTTGAAATCAGCAAATATGATGCAACTTGAAACATTATGTATCAGTTCAACTACCTTCTGTGAATTCAAAGTGTCTTCTGCGAGATCAATCATTGATACTACAGCCTGTTTGAATCTGATAATATTGAATGGAAATGGAGAGAGAAAAATCAACAAAAACTTGAACAATCTCGCCTCTGTGAAGAAACTCTTCTTCATTTGGTAATGAGTACTATATATTTCCTCCTGTACCAAACTATACTAATAGATCGATCAGACCGTTTCGTACATAAAATCGGAAGTCGATTCATACAAAATATCCCCGTTCTTACCAAAAGTGGCCCCTGTCGAGGAAACGCTGATAGCTTATCGCGATATAATTAGTGTCACTAGGAATATGCATTTGAAATTTGATAAAGCAAAAGTATCTTATCGTTTACTCAACCCACGCATTTAACAGCACATTTTTTATCGAACAACAGGCACATTATGTCTCAAGAAGTATGTCACGCCATGACGAATGTCTCAAAGTTTTCAGGGCAATGTAATTGCGTGGCAATTCACGCAAAATTCGAGTTGAATATTGGTGACCGATAATTTTCCGCAATGAGAAGAGCAGAAGGGAAGTGCGCCGGTTACGTGTTTGAAATTTCGAAATGTTTCCGAAAGGTTCTATACGTTTTTATAGAAATATTTTTCAATCTGATCAGTAACAAAATATAGGGGGTTACCCCAGGGTTAGGTCCATTAAACCCTACAACTCCTGATCAAGATCCTATATCTGAGAACCACAAAGAAAACAATAATTTTTTTCCTTTTACTTCTCTGATAGGCATCCAAGATTTTTTTCAAGGACAAAACACAAGCACTACAGAAAAATCCTTTAGGCGCTCTCAGAGCACTGAGTGCATGTGCGAAAGTAGAGATTCACATTGGATTTGAATCGCTGAAAATTAAATCTATTTGGAGAAATGTTCTCGGGAAGTTTATTCCACATTGACGCAGTTCTCCAGATGAAAAAGTTCCTGAACAGTGAAGTTTGAGTTGTACTGAGTTGAACCTCAAAACGATCAATAGCCACAGTCCGTCGCGTATTTCTGATATGTACCGCTCTTGGTGGAATCAAATGTGCCAAATCACTTGAACACCTTCCGTGAAAGTATCTATAGAAGAAGAAGACAAATCTCCAACCTTCCTTCGATGTTCCAGGCTATCAAGGCTGCACGTGATGTTCGCGTCTCCAATCAGGCGGATGGCTCTTTTCTGGATGGAATCCAGTAACTTCAGGGTATGTTTGGGGGCAGGGCTCTTTACATGAGAAAAATACTCCAGAGAAGCTTTATAGCTTTATGAAACATCAAAAGTTGCTGAAGTGTGTACAGTTTTCTGGTTCGAAACAGGGTTCCAAACTTTTGAGAAGTAGCCTTTGCAATTTCAGCGACATAATTGTACCAAGACATGTTGGTGTCCATTTCAACGAAGCAGAACGTGGATTTGTCTGACCTGACATCATTATATCCGGGTCGGAGACATTTATCTTCTTGGAGAAAACCGATTTTGTGGCTTCGAATTGAATCTGGTTACTTTTACCCCAATTCAAAATCACTTCTAGATCCTTATTAAGATGCAATCTCCTGCTACCGGTGAAGATGTGCCTTCGTAGACGATGTCCTGAAATCCAAAGGCAAGTGTGCTTTCGTCAGCAAATTCATGGTTGTTTCCAATAATTCGTTGATATACAATGAAGAGAGGGTGTGAGACAATATGGATTGCTGGGGAACACCAGCGTTGATGGTGAAAGTATTCAAGTTATCAGCAGTTATGTAGAATCTAGGCGCTTTGATATTTTCTCTAGCTGTTCAAGGACTATCTTCACTTTTCGCGGGATCCGACTTTGGTTTCTCTTTGATTCGACCAAAATTTCACGTCGACCTCTAGCATGATTTCACCTCGTAATTTTCAACTCGCCTGATTTTTTAATTTGCTTGAATTTGTTTTGATAAGCTTGAATTTGCCTAGCAGGGTGAATAAACACCTTGGAGTGAACCAATCCTGGAAGATTCTGCCAGAAGTGCATAAATCTTTTTGCCATCCAGTTGTTCAAACTTTATTTGGCAATACCTAAAGCGATACCAATGACAGGTTCTGGTCCGATGAAGCTGCTTGCAGCACCCTCCATTGCAAGGGAGTCAGCAGCCTCATTGCCTTCCAGGCAAGTATGGCCAGGAATCCAAACCAGAGACAATTGTTAAGTCTTCCTATCGTGGAGAGTCGTTTTTGGCAATTTGCTTCCAATTTAGACGTTGCTCGGTTGGAGCCAAGAGCTTCCAACGCCGCTTGACTGTCCGAGAATATTTTTATTGACTTGTGTATGAGGTTGGATTCTTTCAATCTCTCCGCACACAATTCAGTAGCGTAAATTTTTACTTGGAATACATTCGCATAGGTACCTAGGCAGGTTGATATCTCTGATAAGGTTAGTACGTGAATTAGTGAATCAAAAGGAGACCATCAAGTGCACCTTATTCTCTCCCGGTCAGGAAGTTAAACTGTTATGTAGTTGACAACTGAATAATTAAAATACAATAGACAATCCAATAATGTAGTAGTATGGTAAAAACCACAAAGACAATAGTTGTTATTATATGAATTGACTAAGGGTACCCACATCAATGGTATTTCAATACGAATACATGCATGTAATCCGGACGAAGGAATCCAACATTCCGGCAAGATTCTGCAGTCGATACATTGCCGATCGTTGGCGTTATTTGCGAACACTAATCAGTTAATTGACTTCGTAGTAATGGAATGCGAATACGTTCCTGGAACTGCTTCGCCAACTACGCGACGCAGACCTCCGGATTCTTATCCGCGATTCTGTAATGAATTACTTTGACTCGATCCGCCACGAAACGCAATGCTGAAATTAGTTTCTGCGTTCCATGTACAGGGCGAATCCATATGCTTCAATTTGCAGAAGAATTGAATATGCAACAACCCTCGGAAGTCGTCGGAAAAGGTGTGGAAATTGAAGAAAGAACATCATTTTTTATTGTGGGATCCGAAGCACGGCTCAAGATAATATATCTAGTGAAATATTCATCTAATTGAAGTCAATAAATGTGTTGGGTTATCAATTGAGTTATTTTTTTGTAGTTGGGCCCTATTAACTTGTTGAGTCATTTTTGTGCTCGACAGTAAAAAAAACAGAGGATTGATATAAAACCATTACAAAATATAATTTATAGATCATATTTGGTATTTTGATTGATATTATGATTAGTTTGATCTTCTTCTTGAAGATGATCACTTGGTGATCGAAACACGTGTCGAGGTGATAAAATAACCGTTTGGTGTTGGGGAAAAAACTTCAGATGCCACCACTTTAATTTACAATGGAAATAGTGTAAAAGATATTAAAATTATTATTTCAAAAGACTTCGATCAAATATCTTTATGGTTTCAATGCCATAAAATGTTACTGAATTTTCAGAAATCTTCATATATGTTAATATCAAAAAGGTCAATATCAATTGATTCAAAAGATCTAATTGAATTCGATAGTGAAAATATTAGATACTCATATCTGATGAGTGCATTTATGTTCATGTTGGTAATCATATTCAAACATATATGTATGTATATAAGGATATGTATATGTGTATATGTATGTATATTCATATGTTTGTCAAGTTTCACTTCTGATTAATCTTTTTTGTACTTTCTTATAGTTAGTTTTTGAATTGTTTTATTGTTTTTTTCTGCTATAAACATTGTATGTTTCCTGGGAATCCTTTTGAATTGATTTGAATGAATCCTTTTTATTGTCATTGAGTATTATGTCTCAAAAAATTTGATAATGTTCACCCTAGTTGTAGACCTAGTTGTAATTCATCCCTGACGTATGAAAATCTGTGGACCACGGCGAACAAACTTATGAAATCGCTATGATAAAATCCACACATACGCTTAACCAGATTTTTCGAGAAGTGGTAACATTTGTCAATCAATTACAACCAAAAGATCAGAAAATAATGAATTTTATTTTTTTCAGATGATCGAAAACTAGACACCCCTCCACTCTACTCCTTAAAATGTTCCATTCCGCTGCCAATGCAAGTGGATACGGCGACACCAATTCTGGATTCCACCAACACCACCTTCAGCAATCTCCGGTCTACGTGCCCAGCAACAGGATGCCCCAATACCCCTCGTCAGCGGGTACTCACTTTGGGACCGCTCACCAGAGTAGTTGGCATACCGGCGGTGGCTACGGAGAGATGTCCGCCCCCAGCGCTCACGGGCTGGGAACATCTCCCCATCACGCCGGAGCGCTGGCGGGGCAGTTTTACGCGCAGAATATGATGATGGGGGGATGGAGGCCTTACGATGCTAGGGGGTTCCAGAGCACGTCACCTTACGGTAAGTAAAACTTTTTTCTCTACATGACATTAAAAATCTCTTGAACCCAGTATTTGAGTAACATTTCGTTGTAAAGCGTTCACTGAACAGTTTAAAAAACTTCAACACATGTTTCACTATACAGTACTTCTTTTAAGCTGGCAAAAAACTAAAAATCAATCAATCGAAATATACTTTTCTGTCCTAAGAATTTTTCTCAATTGAAAAAATCTACAAAGTTACTAGAAATATAAAACCAGAAAACAACAAATTAAAAATTAATCAAATTGATGGATGTAGGATGGTAGGAGACCATCATGAGAAATGAGAAGTAAAACTTCTTATGTTTTTATACCACTTGTATGAATTTTGTTTACCTTTGAATGTGAGTTAGGTTAGGTTATGTTAGGTCCGAAGTGGATGGGTTTATTCGATCCTCAGCCGCAACCCGCAAGGGTTCATTGTGGCTCACGCCTATTCACACTCGACCGAATAAACCCAGCTTCTTAACGAATCCGATTAGTTTGTATGGTGAGTGGTCTTTCAGGTCAGATAGTAAGAGTACGGCTCTGCCGAACTCTGAAAACACCTGATACAGTCCCCAGCGGGGCAGACACAAAGTATATGCTCTGCTGTTTCATCGTTAATGAGGTAGTCGGATAGTCAAGGTGCAAGATTCCCACCTTGATACCCAGGACAACCTTCCCATATGAGGGTTTTTGCACCTCAGCTACACCTGACGATGCCTTAGATTCAACCGAGCAGGGCAGTTTCGCCTCTGGTTTTGGTGAATCATCACTTGAGCGCAAACGTTTGCTCACCTGCTCATGGGGGGTTTGTTCCTCCACCTGATACAGATTCTGCGTACGCCGCTCAAGAATTTGGTGCAAGGCGTTTTTATTAGGTACCCCGCTCTCGAGGAGACGACTCAATCGTTTCCTGGCTGAACCACCAAACCTTTTTTTAGGTTCTGTTTTTGGATTAGAAGTTGGGGAGTTGAGAAAGTCTCACTCCTGAACTAAATTTACAGGGAGGTCAGTTGGAGTCGTGAACTCGACATACATCCCCTCTGTACAGTCGCTCCTGATCTAAATTCACAGGGAGGTCAGTTGGAGCCGTAAGCTCAACATCTATCTCCTCTACAAACTCAGCGTCGGAAAGAATTTTTAAGTTTACTCTGTCCATAAAAGTCGCACGAGTATCTAGGAAAAGTTGGTCAATCACGACAGAGCCCCGCATTCCCGTGACAAGGCGATGCTACAACGAGGAGGCGCCCGGTATCTCGAAGGTTCCGTAGAGACAGCTGATAGGCTCAGTGTTATTAATCTTCTCGGCACGGATACACACACCTTGGGAGTAAGCCATAGTTAGGATGCCATTCAGTTAGGGAATAACAGAACCACAAGTGATTCTGTCATTCCCGTATCCAGCGGGGCTGCGTGGAAGCAGGCTTCCGATGGCCAGATTGCTCACAACACCCACATGCCAAGCCAATGCACTCGCCAAAAACAGCATGCACAGTGGTTCAGGCAGTGAAAGATGAACAAAGACAGCCAACCCGCCCTGCGCTAGTAAGACAATGTGGGTACGCCGGTCTGGAAACCGGCGAGTAGACCCGGTCAATTTGGTCATTTAGTAAGTTACATCCGCAATGCTTATTTTAATAATTGAGTTTCCAACCCTTACCTGCATAGTGCAAAATTCCGTATCGTTTAAATTCGAGAAGTTGTGGTTGTAATCTAAGGATTGTTTTGAAAACGTCGAATCATTTTTACCTGGTCTGAAAGACCTTTCATGTTCAACTTATCGTTTTGAAAAATTTCGGCCACATTGTCCCACATAAACACTATTACACTCCGGACACAGATTTCTCCATCTTGTTCACTCTATATTTGGCATTGAAAAGAAAAGTAGCTAACCTAGTAAGTGGTTTGAATGCCACTTCCACATGGTTTTTTTCTAAAAAATGATTTCTGATTGCTTGATCTGTAGGTATATCAATCTGTACGTACCTACGTAATCTGTATCCTACATAAAGAATCTATTTTATTTCAAGCTTTTCAAATTTTCATTCAATTTTCATCAATGGAAAGGGTAATCTCGTAATTTATTTGCGATATTTCAATAATCTCTGTTGAAATTCTCAGCGTAAGCGAAGTTGTTTACGAATGGGAAATGAAAATATTTATAACGAGCAATAAAATAATACTAACAAAGTGAGACATCATTCTCAAAATGAATAATTCATAGAAGCTAATTGATAATGTTCGAAGTTATAAGTAATGGAAACTTGTCATATTTACGTGGGTGCTCAACTGCATGCCAGGATATTACCCAAACATAGAGTAAGTTCAACCTACTTTAATGAACACCACACGAAAGGACTAATCAATCCACTGATATCGATAATAAGAGTGAACCGTGAATTTCTTGAACTTAAAATTATCATAATTAGCTCAATTAAATACTTTCAAATGGAATAAAAATATTGATGAAATATAGAAAATCATAACGCATTATACATTCTGTCGGGACTGGTGATAAGTGAATTTATTAGTCAGTTGGACACAACGTTTACAAATAATGAAATTTATTAACAGCACCAACAAAACTTGTGATGCACTGTTTGGAACCTTTGGTGTAGATATGACTATTACTGGAGTATTTTCCCAACAGTAAACCGTTATTTTAATACCTCGACACGTGTTTCGATCCCCAAGTGATCATCTTCAAGAGGAAGATAAAACAATTTGATCTCCTTCTTGAACATTCTTTACCAACAAAACGGCAAATAGAAATAACAGTGTATCCTCATGGCGAGGAGAATCAGAATTCGGATTAGTTCCCGACCGAAATCCCTAAATAGACTGAAGGCATGGGCTAAGAAATGTGTTGGAAATAACTTTCAAATAATCATCACTGACAATATATCCGGGGTCATGAACATAGTCGAGAAGGGTCAACCACTTGTGCCCGATTTTTTTGTTAAAATCCATAAAAGTGTTAACAATGAGTACCTACTCGAAACATCCCAAGTGGTGTCTGTCGTTCTAAATATCATCTGTTTTTCGGCAATAAACTATCGTTTCGAGAGAAGAGAGCATTCCAATGATATGTGATGAAAAAGTACGAAAATGATAAGTTAAAATTAAAATTAACATAAAATAATAAACATAAAAACCCGAGCAGCTGGATATTTTGAACGACTGCTCGATAATAGAGTTATGAAAAGTTAATTTACTAACAAGAATTTATAATACAAAAATAAAATCAAATGACACTCATGACAATTATAAGATTCGATAAAAATATTTCAATACTTCAATTGAATGACTCGAACAGCACTTTTCCCATTCACCAGAAATGTAATACTCTTCTCGACGAGTATTTAACCAACCAAGTTGGCATCTTCAGCACTAACCAACTTGGTTTAAAGGCCGTCGTAGTTTGGAACTGCATCCTGGCGTTTCGCCAGGCTGGCTTCTTCAGAGATTTATTCATCTTGATGATTTACCGATTCATCGAATGAAGACAGCAACACTTAAAATTTCGGCCGGGAAAGCTTTAACCAATTTGGTTGGGTATCTTCGGGATATGAAGATCATATCTTCATCTCCCGACCATCACCAACCAACTTGGTGTATGAAACGCGCGTCAAGAAGAGTATTGCGCTTCTGGTTATTGAGAAATGTGCTTGTTCTAACGTGTGCTGTAATACTAGCGCACATATTGTATTGAAAATGAAGTTCAAATATCGATAATCGATATGGAAATAATATGGTCTAATATAGTTACATGAACTTTTTCGAATGTGGAAAAAGGCGTTATTTTTAAAACAAATTTGATGAAGAAGGATTCGTTGAACGTGGCATGCGGAAAAAATATGAGAAATTGGTTTTGTTTCGTTTTCATGGGACAACATACATAAATTCAAATTGAGTACCACCTAAAAATTTCTAAACTCAAGATTCATCGGCAAAAAAATTCCGACAAAGCTATCTCGAGAACTTCTCAGGTGTTACTTTCCGACGCTACCCTCTTACGACCAAACCACAGACTCCCTCACAACAGCAGAGAAAACAGACGCGAAGAGAGGACGGAACACATACGATCATAATAGTACAGCGGTACAACCCTGAAAACGTTTCGAAAAATAGAGTTAACCGACCGGGAAGGGTGTCAGAAAGACAAAGCTTTCATCTTTTAAAAGTTTTCTTATGTCAGGCTCAACGAATACTCCTTCTTTTAGTTTAGCATCTGATAGACCAGGAAACTTTTCGGAAAGATACTTGAACCAATCTCCTTCTTTGTCTAATGCTTTCACAAACTGTTTCGTTAGCCCCAATTTGATATGGAGTGGTGGAAGTAAGATTTTTTCAGGATCCACTAAATTTTGTTCTTCAACATTTTCAACTCCAGGAATAAGACCCTTCCTTATTGGCCACACCTGCTTGACATAGTGTTGTTTCCTGTTACGGCTATCCCATTCACATAGGAAACATGGAAACTAAGTGTAACCACTTTGTTGACCTAGCAACATTGAAATAACTTTCAAATCTCCACAAATGGTCCACTTATGATCAGAGTAGTTGAGCTTATTAAGAACAAATTCAAGATTTTCGTAGCATTCTTTCAAATGGACTGAGTGTCCAACAGGCATATTGGTTCCCATTGTGAAGAAGTACAGCTTTCAATTTTTTTTTTGATGAATCGATGAAAATTCTCCATTTCTCTGATTCATACGTTATGTTGAACATTTCCATAACGCCGGGTACATTGTTGCAGAAAAGTAGGCCACCCTTTTGTGTGAAAAAGGGACAAATTCTCTTTCTCTAAATCGGTACCATGAACACCGGAGGCTTACATACGTCTTTCTTTAAGTCTAAGTCAGAAACATCGAGCCCATACCTATAAACCCATTTAATAAGAAAATTTCAGGTGAAATTTGTGACATCTATAGGTTATAGAATTTTTTTACTATTTTTTCCGTAATCTACACACAAAATATTGTTAAAATCACT